GTTGAGCAACGAGACTCGAGTGCCGTTGGCCGCGTATTCCTCGAGGACATCGATCTCGATGAGACAATTGGACTCGCGCGGCGTCGCTGACAGCTCGGTGGGTCTCGACGTAGTTGGTCTCGCCAGACTGGCGCGCACGCTGCGCCACGCATGCCCAGCAGTCCTGACGGCCTTGGGCGTGGCTCGACCGCGCCGTAGCAGCCTCTGGAGTGCCTCGTTCGACGGGCTCCCTGCTGTCGCATGTGGGTGCAGTGGCGCCCTGCCCTGCGCAGACCTGCATCCACTGCCGCCCAGGCCTCGCGCGACTCTGCATCTTTAGGTCGTCGTGGTTCGTCGCGCGGCGGAGGGAGTGGCGGCGCCGGCGTCGCGCCGACGTCTGGCGGGGTAGACCCCCAGGGAAGGGTTGCTGTTGGCCGCTCGTCCTCGCCAGACTCGCTCGGCACACGGCGCAAAAATTTTTTGCCGTGCCAGCGCGGCATGGGCGGAGCAGGGTTGGTCCTCCAGTCATCCTGCTCGCGGTTGCTCTCTCCATTCTCGTCGATGCCAGCGATCTCGCGATCTCCGGTCAGTCCTACTTCCGTCTCATGGGAGAGATTCCTCGGGTCGAAGTTGGCGCCCATCCACGCATCGTGAGTCACGGGGATGTAGATCCCAGACTCGTCGGCGCACTCGCGGGCCGCGTCGACCCTGGCGGAGCCCCCGCGCATCGGCCTCCTGCGGGCCTCGTCGATGAGCTCCTGCACCTCCGCGGGAAACGCGAGCTGCTCGTGGCGCCTCTCGAGTAGCTCCTCGCGCGCGCCCAGCTAGATGTCCTCGGCCAGCTCCAGCGGGCACCGTCCTGCTTGCTCGCTCCGATCTCCGTTTGCATTGCGTCCCTCGATCATCTCGCGTCGACGCGGCGTATCGCACCTCCGCGCGGGCCTCTCCGCGAGCGCGCCCTCGTTCACCGCAAACCCACTTGGCTTCAGGTCGGGGCGTCCGCTCTCGGTGTCCCCGATGCCCCCCTGGCGCGCATCTTCCGGCGCGGGGCCTTCCCGTGCGTCGCTCGCCCACTGGTTCTCCATCGACGCATGCCCCCCACCCTCCAAGCGGCGCTTGGCGACCCTCGCACTGAACTCCAACTCCTCCACGCTCGCAGCGGATGAACCTCCGCGCGCGGTCTGGAAGCGGGACTGGCCGCCCCGCGTCCTACGTGGCCACGGGGCGAACGTCAACCACGGGTCGCCATTGTCCAACTTCTCGAACATCCGCCCCTGGTTCGACGGGTCGGTGCAGTCAAAACCGCCCAGCATGTCGCCCAGCTGAGACACGGGCACTTCCATGACCGTGTCGGCGTACCACGTGGCTCCCAGTATCCCACAAAAGAAATCCTTGACGAGGGTCTGGCCAATCTTGAGACAATGCAGGGCTTCCTTGACCGCGCGTTCCTTGGGCCGTCGCCCTCGCCGATCACAGCGCGCCGCCGCCCGGGCGCTCTCCTCGTCGCCGAACATATCCGCTTGTTCCTGTCGGATGCTCTTCCCCTCGCCTGCCGTCGCGGCCCGTCGAGGCACCTCGTGGATGGGCAGGTTGCCCGCTCACGTCTCCCCCCTCGACGTCCTCCGCGGCCTCATAAACCACAGCGCCTGAACTCGATGCCGCGGCAGTCTTCCTCTCCAGCCGCTCCGGCCGGTCAGGGCCCAGGTTGGCAAAGTCAGTGATCTTCGCGCCCCAGCACCCCTCACTCGTCCTCCGCAGCTTCCACCGAGGCCGAGCTTCCCGAAGCCCGCCGCCCCCGACTCGGGCGATGACCATGCTCAGCGCCTTCTGCGTCATAAGCGGCAGCAGCATTTTCGTAGGTGCCCCTGGGATTCGATTCGAGCTGATCTCGCCATTCTCACCACCCACGCCGATCGGTAGCACATCTTTGAACTTCGCTCCCTTGCGTTCTCCGCCGCCAAACCGGCACTTCATCCTGCGTAGGTAAGACTCAGTGCACAACCCGTGCTTCTCGTTCAGCTTCGTCGAGCACCGCTCCAGCCACTCGTCACCGCGCATGGCGCTCGCGCACATCGTGTCCAAACGAGCGATCCCGTCGTCGTCGAACTCACTCTGGTCGTCAATGACGCCAGCAACGGCTGCGAACTCCTCGAAATCCTGCTCCCCGGACTCCGCGATCGACGTGTAGATGAAACACCTCTCGACCTGTCCGCGATAGGACTTCTTGCTCGTAGGAAAGTACCTCTCTGCTGTTCGCGCGCCGCAGTCGCAGTTCCACGCGATGGCAGACTGGTTCCTGTAACCTTGCGCCATCCCGCCATCGGGGCATAGTCGGCACCGTCCGGGATCGCCAGGTGGCCACGTCTGCTCGATGAACTTCAGCCTGATCTCACCTTCTGCCACGTCACAATTGCCACCCGATCTCGGCGCCCCTGGTGCGCTTGCCTTTGGAAATGATGGCGCTTGCCGGTCATCTTGGACCGCAATGCACGCTCCTCCGGCTCGTGTGTGGGTAGTTTCTCCACTTCACTTGCAATCCACGCCCTGCTGGCTCGCGACCCACTGCCGCTCGCTCCACTGGACGTCGCTGCGGCTGCCGCATCGGGACAGCGCCGACAGCTGGGAATGTGGCCCCCTCGGCCAACACATGCACCGAAACCCTCACGCGCGCAATCCGCTGCACTACACTGCTTGCCACACCTCTTCAGGACCTCTGCGCCCGACTGGCGCCCGCTGCTCTCCCGCGGCGCGACGACGTTGGCCGTGCCCCTGCCGTCCGCGCAGTTCCTCGTCGGGCTCGGCGTCGCGGATACTGGCACAGCCGCCGCTGCCGCTGATGGCGCCGGTAGCGGACCAAGCGCGCTCTGCCCAGGCGTCTCTGTGTCTTGCTCCACGCTGGCCCCGAAACGCGCCTCCTCGCCGTCGTCGCCCGCGTCGCCCCCGACGGCAAAGAAGCCCTTCCGCCGCCTCGCCCATTACTGTTTCCGCCACCTCCCTTGCCACCGCGTGGCTGGAATCGACCTCGGTCTCCACGCGGCGGCAGCGGACGATCCGAATCGGTCATCCGTTCATCAGCTTCCCAGAACGACTGGACCTTCGGGCGCGGTCTTTCAGCCCGCGCAGGCCCCTTCGGGCGACGCGCGCAGCCTGCTCCGCAACGAAGCACTCGCCGAGCACCGCCAGCTGCTCTTCTGCGCCTTCGCCGCCCGCTTCGACTCCTTCTGTAGCAAATTAAACTTGTCCTCGATATCTGTCATGCCTTCGCCGTAGTCACCGTCGTCTCAATATTCGTCGTCTGGCCCTGGCTCTGCTTCATCTTCAACGTGTCTCTCGGCGAAGTAGGCGCACCTACTCTCGCGTTACTCTCCTCGGCGATCGCGTCCGTGGCGGATTGTCGCTGGTGCAAGCCCTGATTCTGGCGTTGTAGCTCACATCGGGCTGAGTAGCGACAGGGATGCCTGCCACTGATTGCCCTTCTTCCACGCGCTGCTTCGAATTGAGGGGGAAGGGAGCAGGAGGAGGAGGAGGAGTCGGAGGAGTCGGAGGAGGGGGAGGAGGAAGAGGAGGAGGAGGAGGAGGAGGAGGAGGAGGAGGAGGAGGAGGAGGAGGTAGAGGAGGAGGAGCAGGAGGAGGAGGAGGAGGAGGCAGAAGAGGAGGAGGATGACCAGTGTAAAACCAAGAGGCATCAACGATGTTGGAATTAACCCTCCCTCATAGCTCCTCATCGGCCACCACAATGGTTCATTTTCATTGAGGGAACTGCCTCGTTGGAAGACAATTTTGAAGATTCTGAAGCATGCCAAATGATGGTTCTCTCGATTTCAATGCCACGTATCAACCTGACTGATGCGTCTTGACGATCCGGAATTGTGCCAGAGCGCCATGTTTGGGATTCCAACACCGCGAATCAGTATAACTGTTGCACCCGCATTATCCAGAATCCTTCCAAAACGCTATTCTGGTAAGTTGATCATGGGAATCATCAGAACTCTTGCACATTTTGAGAACGAATTTGCGCGGCGCTAAGGCGGGAACCACATTTTGAAAAGGAACCGCCCTCAATCCTTGAAAGTCCTGCGCATTTCGAAAACGAATGTGCGCCGCGTAAGCCAGGAGCCACATTTTGAAAACGACCCGCCCTCAATCCGTGAAACCCTTGCAATTGTTTGAAACGAATCTGCGCGGCGGTAAGGCGAGAGCCACATATTGAAAAGGAACCGCCCTCGATCCGTGAAGCTCTTGCAAACTTGTTTAAATGAAAATGCGCGGCCCTAGTGCGAGAGCTGCATTTTGCAAACGACCCGCCCTCAATCCGTGAACTTCTCGCAAATTTTTAAAGCGAATGTGCGCGGCGCTGATGCGAGTGCCACATTTTGAAAACAACCCGCCATTCATCTGTGAAATTCTTGCAACTGTTCAAAGCGAATGTGCGCGACCCTACTGCGAGAGCCACAATTTGAAGACGACCCGCCCTCCATCTGTGAAACTGTTGTCATTGATTAAGCTTCGGAGTCATAAATGGTGAGGAAGTCTCAGGCGAAACGCCCGGCCCGCCCTGAAACCTAGCCTGGGAGGAGTTATCTATAAGGAGAAGGAATGGAGGAGGATGGGGAGAAGGAGGAGGAGGAGGAGGAGAAGGGGGCAGGAGGAGGGGAGAGGAAGAGGAGGAGGAGAGGAGGAGGAGGAGGAGGAAGAGGAGGAGGGAGGAGGGAGGAGAGGAGGGAGAGAGGGGAGGGAAGGAGGGAGGAGGGAGGTAGGAGGAGGAGGAGGAGGGAGGAGGCGGAGGAGGAGGAGGAGATAGGAGTAGGAGGAGGAGGAAGGAGGAGGAGGAGGAGGAGGAGGAGGAGGAGGAGGAGGAGGAGGAGGAGGAGGAGGAGGAGGAGGAGAATGAGGAGGAAGAGGAGGAGCAGGAGGATGCCAGCACGCCACATGCACTCGCAGTAGGTCCGCTCAACGTCAAAAAGTGGACACGGAGAGGAGGAAGACGAGGATGATGAGGGCTGGTGGAGCATCCCCGGCAGGCCTCGGCCGCCTCGCAGCCGCGGCCCCAGCGGCCAGTGCGCAACGCCGCGGCCCTCGGGCGGGGGCCCGGTCGAGCTGCCGCCCAAGGCCCGGCCCGGGGGTCCGGGCCTCCCAGATGGGGTCGCAGTTCAGCATCGTTTAGCCGATCCCCATCCCCATCCCCGTCCCTGTGGGCAAGACTTGCATCCATATCCACTGCAGCTTGGAGTTTCGGGCTCCCTTTCCTAGAAACCCAGAATCCTGGAGAGGACTGGTTATAGATATACTTTGCCTGCAATTTCCCACCATCCCACCACCCCAGTTGGGGACATGCCCCTCGAAACCCGAAGCGAACAGCCTATTTTCCCATCCAGGGGATAAGTCGGCCAGTGGGACCCAGGCCACGCAAATGTGGATAGGTACCGGTTAAACAATGTTCATAAGTGAATGATGTCAGGGGATCGCCCTGCATCGTCGATGCATCGGCAATTCGGCTAGATGTGGAGTCAGATTTTCTCCACGCCGACGTCGCCGATGCATCGCTGACGTCGCCAATGCATCGCCGATGCGGCGCGATCCTCTGACCCCATCGATTCGGACCCCATCTGGGATGCCTCTCTTGGTGGAGAGGGAGGAGTCGGAGGCTGACCAGGGGCTTCACCAAAACCAGCGGTGCGGTGGCCACACCGTGTGGTGAGTCTCGGACGCCTCTTCGTTTCTCGCCGGTGCTCCGGCCCCAAGGAGTGCCTTCGGGGGTGGACAGAACCCCCAACAGTGACACGTCGATTAGTGAATTGTCCGTTTTCGGTTCTCGAGAGGGCGCGTGGCCGTTATTTTCTAGGCTTGCGCCCGCCAGGTTTGGGCCTCAGGTCGTTTTCTCTAAACCACGTTTTACTAAAGGGGGGTCTGTCCATCCCCGATGCCTGCGGCAGCTGCTCCTCGCCGATGAGCCTTCCCCGGGGTGCCCGATCGTCCGGAGCGGCCGCCGGGGAGAGCCGAGCTGTGGCGCGTCGAAGCCAGGGATAGCAGCGAGGGGGGGGGGCCCCCAAGCGCTGCGGTGGCCACGCCGTGTGGTGAGTCCGTGGAGGTTCGGGGCGGCCCCACGGTTCCTCGGGGGCGGGAAAGAGGGGGGTGATGAGTAGGGGGGGGTGGATATCATGGCGTGGGCCATGATGTTTCCCCAGATTTCATGGCGCCTCTTCTTATTTCAGTACGTCCCTGGCCCCCCCGCTGGGCCGCGCACATGCCGCCGGTCATGATTTGCACTCCTCCCTCTTGGACACCCTCCTCTTGGCCGCTCCCGAACAAACGGTACGGGATTTACACCGTGTGGTGAGTCAGTGGGGATTCGGGGTGGCCGTACCGTTTGGGGACCTTCGGGCAGGTTTCCGAAGACGCTCCGGGCGGCTTTGGGCTCCGTGGCCCCGAAACGGTGCAGTGATTGACTGTGCGGTAGGGTCTGTGTTGGGGTTCCGAGGTCACCGCACCTTTTTGCGGCCCCGAGATTGCGGAGGACGAGGAGGGCGTGAAGGAGGACAACGTGAAGGGTGAGAGGGCGGGAAAAGAATGATGATGATGATGATGATGATGATGAT